GGAGTCAGGTCCTGAGTAAAGAGAGTCTGAGTGGACGTGTTACTGGAAGTCGAGCGAGAGGAGGAGGAGTTCTGTAGCAGTCACATACAAGAATATCAGCAGAGCAGGGAGCGAATGAGTGGATTTGGACGTAATGACAAATCTTGGGCGTTAGATTATTTCTTAAACAGTTATAACTTTTATTACAACAATGTCAGCACTCCTGTCTCAGGTCCTCAGTCCTCCAGAGTAGGAGTGTACCTGGATCACAGAGCAGGTATTCTGTCCTTCTACAGCATCTCTGAAACCATGACTCTCCTCCACAGAGTCCAGACCACATTCACTCAGCCTCTACATGCTGGACTCGGGTTTATTAACTCGTTTGGCTTGTGTGTTGGAGACTCTGCTGAGTTGTAAACTGAAATAGACAGAAGTCATTAACGAGACAGATGTTTAACTTGCTGTGTTTTAAATCTTCAACTTGATTTTATCCACGCTCGTTGCTGAGATCTGATCGTGGTCACCTGTCAATCAAACTTTATGGGCGGTACTTTGACCTCTTCTCGTCTGTTCTGTAAATGTTTGAGTGTCTTTAAGTGACACTCCTTCCTGTGTCTGTTTAGCCGTGGACTCTTTCACTGCTCAGGATGACTTTTGTTCACCTGAACTGACATTTCTCTGAGTGATAAATATCAACTTCTCTCTGCTCTCCATGTTTGATTATTTGTTTTCATACATTTATATTTTCTGTTGTTTCTGTTCTGATTCAGGAGTCTGAAGAGAGAGAGAGAGAGAGAGCAGCAAACTTTTCTTTCATGCTGATTTTCTCTTCTCACCACTTTGTACATTTGTAGAAAATCTATAAAATCACACTTAAAGAAATGAGTTAGTCAGAATAAATGTTGTTGTTCATATTCAAAGTGATGTAAAAATGTCCTCTGAGGTGTTTTAAAAATGTAATCCTCCTGATTAAATCAATAAGGAGATAAATCATTTTTCTGTGAGTGGAGATTCTGATCAAACAAAGTGATTGTGTGGATGAAGTGAATGTGTTCATGAAATGATTGAACACACTTTACTGATTTGATGTGTGAACAAACTGAAGTTTGACATCCTGAAAAACTCACATGAACTAAATGTTTTCTTCTGGTCTTCATTGCAAACGTTCAAGTGAACAACAAATAAAATCCTGCTACTGTTTGTACCCGCTGAGCTTCTGTATTCAGGAAGTTCAGCAGGAAATAGATGAAGTCAAATAGAGGGGAGGAGCTACAGAAAGAGGAGTAATGACCAGGTTAAGTACTCTGCATATCACTGGAAAACATTCATCTGCTCTTTGTGAGGTATGCAATCAAGCAGAAGCAGGTGAACATGTACTTACTAAATGTAGGAAGTATGTAACACATAGACAGAACAGGAAGTCAGAAATGGAGAGAGAGAGGACTTGTAAGAAGAGAAAAGTATTTTGGAGGGTGGTGAAAGAGGGAGAGGCCGAAGATGCTTGTTTAAATCTCTTTTGAGAACAGGTCTGTTGAGGGATATTTAAATCCAGCAGATGGCAGTAATGACACTTTTCTGATGTCAGCTGCCGAAGAAGAAGAAGAAGAAGAAGAAGAAGAAGAAGAAGAAGTATTCAATTACAAAATCAGCTTTAAATCTAATTAATATAGATGTAAAGGTACCATTTGTAAAAACTGAATACAGAAGTAGAATCAAAGAAGGTCTTGAGTGGGAGTGGAAAGAAACTTTAGGAGAAGGAAAAAAAGAGGCAGACATTATTTTAATCCACAACCTTTGATTAGGAAGTCTGTCAGTTATTGTGGAAAGTTAAAATAACTCGACTGAGGCTGGGTCACTGTGGGTTAAACCAATATTTACACTCTATAGGAAAACATCCCAGTGGGCTGTGTGAGTGTGGCGCTCCTGAAACAGTTATACACATTATTCATGAGAGCAACCCATCCGGGTACTTTGCCCAAACGATGCCGGCCCCGCCCCTTTCTGGGTGAAATCATTCCATCTGAATGAATGGAGGTTAATGGACAAGTTGGCGTCATTACCGATTTAAAGTCTTAAAAAATGAAAACCGTACTTTAAAACTAAAAGTATGAGCCTAAATCTGATGAGCAGTGATGTAAACATTTAAAATATGACATTTCTGAACAGAGATCGGCATCATAACGGTATAAAATGAACCGTGTACGTGAGTGTATGTTCAATCTGCTCAAACGAGTCATCAGAGGAAACTGACTTTAAACACCTGATGAGTCATTATTAACCGTGTTACCTGAGAGGGATCTTTATTTTTAAATAATCTTTATTTGTAATAGTTTCTAACAGTGTTCAGAGCTGTAATGGAGAGGTTACAGATGTTTACATAAACTCTGAGTTATCAGCTGATTTAGAATAACACATGTAAAGTCACCTGGATGATATTAAAACCTTTTGTCTTCATACCTGAGTGTAAATAATGATGAGTGGGGCGAGACGACGTGTTATATCGAGATAGAGAACTTTTTATTTTGACATTTATTTCTCAGTAAGAGGATTTGGTGTAGTGTTCCTTCGTTTAGAGACATTTTCACCAACATATTTATGAGACGTGACAGTTGAAACGTTGTTAATACGTTAGTGAATGAATGTGTGAAGAATCTGTTAACAGACGATCGCTGCCTTAAAGCCAGCAGGAACACGACAGAGGTCCCACAATTTACCACTTTAATCCTCATCATCATGTTAATGGCACAAACTGAGTCATTATGATGAAGCTGGTGAAGTATTGTGACCTCTAGTTTTGCTTGTTTCTCACTATACTGAATGTTGAAACAAACAAACATGAAACACAACAAATATAAAGTAGGGATGCGCAGATGAATCAGTTCAACATCAGTAGCCTATTGGCTGATATCGGCCCTGTTGGTGCCAAATCAATTTAGTGCTGACTATCCAGTACACTTAACTACTGATTCAGAGAAGAGGTTTTTTATTGGTCAAATGATAAAGTGACCTGTTGAACAAACTCTGACCTGTTTTTATTGTCAAACATGAGAGAAAATGTTGGCATTGTGGGAGTTTACGAAACAAAGATCGGTATCGGAATCAGCATCGGCTAAATTTTTATTTCAATATAAATACAAAATGAAAAGTGAAGATGTATAACTTACTACATGGAAGTATTTTAAGTAATGAAGATTAACTCCACGTTGACCAGCTGCAACATTAAAGAGAAAAACATTTTAATGCATCAATAACTTTAATTAATACAATAATAATAAAATCTTATTTCTCTAAAGTTGGTGTGACAGGTTGAGGTCTTCTTCAACTTTTGGTGCTTAGCCTAAATCCTATTTTCAATTGAGCTATTTTTTTTAAATTTAAGTAAAATAAAACCACTGATTTAATCATTTTTATGAAAAAATAAAAAGAATGTACTGAATTGCATTTCGTGTAATGAAGTATTTCTACCATGAGAGGGCGCCACAGAATAATCTGATGAGAGTCCAGGCAGTGATCGTCTTTGACTGGAACAATGACTCACTTAGAGATAATAAAACAGTCCACGCAAAACTCTCACAAACTACTTTTAAACATCGACACACTTCCCTTAAATTGTATAAATCCAATCTTCTAACAGAGTTTTTCCAAAGTGTAAAATTTGTACTTTTACTTGTTTCGAGTCTTGCTGTTAGTTTGCGTGTAGAAATGTTGGATGTCCGGTCACTGGAAATTCCGTCAGAGTGAGACCTCTTTGTGTCTCATCTCCTCTCCGTTGTGTAATGCTGCATTCAAGTGCTGCTCGGGTGGTCCAAGTTTGCGAGTGGGGAAAAAGTTGATGTGCAATACGTGAATGAATAAAAAGTATTTTAACATTAACAAAACATATTTAGCCCCTTATGTGATGACTATTCTGACGTCAAGTCGGGCACCCAATTCTTTTCCGAGTTGTTTACAACTTGAGGAGGTGTTCATGTGCATTTTACAACTGGGAAGTTCCTCTTTCCGATTTATCCGATCCCACTTGAACGCAGCATAATAGGTGGTTTGTATCTGTGTGTGTTCGTCTCTCTGATAATCAGATCCGCATGAAGCTGCTGCTGCTCGGTCGGACTCTACGCCCGTCAAGAAGTTTGAAGTTTTGGAAACAACGGAGACTTTTAGAGTCATTTAAAAAGTGTAGCTGTTCAGTCTTGTCTTGTTTTTCTCTACTTCACCGTCCCGGACCCACGGGGGACCGAGGAGTTTCTCCAGACGGGACCGAAACTCTTCGCCTAGCCGTTAGGATGGAACTTTAACGAACAGTTTTTTTTTGATCCGTCTCCATGGAAACGGAAACCCGCCCAAATCCTCAGAGGTAACGGTGTCTCCAACTTCTTTAAATATGTATTAAAAACAGCCCGATAAACTTAAAGATGACATGTTATCCCCTCCTCCACCTTTTCAAACAGTCCCCTGTGGTCTAAATGAAACATCTGTGCTGTGCTTTGTTCAAAATATAACATGAATCAAGCACCAGAGGAGGTTTGTGACCCTGTATAACCAGCTCTCTCAGAATGCTCCGTTTTGGTGTGTGTCTCTTTAAATGTAATAAGCCGCCCCTGAGTTTTCCCGGTAGACATCACTCCTCTGTAGAGAGAATAAAAATGACAGACATGTAAAAGTTTAGCTTTAGGCTGGGGTTGGAGTCCATAGGTGGAGACACAGGGGAGGGGAGGGGATTTTTTTGTTTTTTACCAGAATCCCACTGTGACATCACAAGAGCCGTTTTCACTCAGGATAAAATTTGGATAATTTCTGGAGAACTGCTGTGGAGATTGTCCCGACCTAGCACATTATTTAGGAAATACAAGAAATGAACTGCACTTGTTCCATTTGTGTCAATTATAAATCTAAAATCTCAGTTCTTACAGCTGAAGCAGACAAGATCAAATCGTTCATTTTAATTGAACTTACAGTCAAATACCTGAAATTGGAATTGATTATAGTAAAAGATAAAAAAAAAACACTGAGAATTTGGAACAGGTGAATCCTTGGCTCTTTTGGCCGCAGTATCTCGTGTTTACTGGCTTTGTGTACACACTCCTCACGCTCAAACTATTCTGTCGTCATTCACTGCGAGATGTGTGACTGCACCTGCCAGACGGGTATGAAGTATGCAGATTTGTCTGAACACGCTGAGCTCAGATGTGTTTACCTCTGAGCTACAGCTGTCTGATCAGTTTGTGACTGAGCCCTGAAGCAGTTTTTTTTAATCATCCGTGTAATTAGATCAGAGACGATCTCACTCATCTGAGAGAGACATCGTGGACTGTCAGTGATCGACAATCAAACAGCCTTCATGGAGACGTGTCCAAAACACTGAGATGGTATGTTCAGGTACATGTATGTATTTTGGGTCAGTGAAGACAAACTCAGATTGTACCTTAAGGGTACCTCAAAACATACTTTTAATATGTAAATTTTATGACAATTTTACATTCAAATATCTGAAATAATAAAAAATTCACTACATCTGTTATATAATATTATTTTTTAAGTACTTACAATACCTCAAATATTTCAAACAGTTATCAAAGCCAGAGAAATCTGTAATTTATAATATGAAGAGAACTCCCATGATTCCCCTATCCTCAACGTCATCTTTTGTAATTGTTTTGGTTGAGAGCCGCCTGGCGGCGGATTTTAAATACCGTGCATTTAAAGGCTGAGCACCAGCATGAAACCAAAACTGCGCTGCATTGTTGTGTTAGCATGCTAATGCTAGCGATCTTTATTATGCTGGTATCTTCACACTGCATGTAAATTTACCTGAAATGAGCGTGATCTAGAAACACAGTTAAGCAGTGAGTACAGTATGTTATTCTTCTTTTCTCTAGTCCCTCAATTAAACAACTTTTATACACGAGGGGAGGAGTCAGCCGGCCGTCCGGCGATGTAAACAAAGTGAAGATAGGACTCTGAAAACTCTGAAAACATCACAGACAGTGGGACTCGGGTGTTACACCATTGTAGACAGTCATGACTCACAGAGTTATTTTCAGAGGATAGACTTGATTTATATTATATTTAAGAGTGAAAAATCACATAAAGACTTTAAAGGATATCTTATCTTAAAACCTCAACACAGCCCCTACAGAGTCTGAACAGTAGTTTGGTTATTGGCCAGGATTTAGAGCAGGATCACCTGGGTCACAATACAAAAGGTGTTTCGCTGTGAGTTCAGGAAAATTGATTTATTCACGCAACACTTTGCTGTATCCATCTTTTTTTGTACATCCATACCAAACAGTCACTACCTTAAGAGTAGAACTGTGGCTGTTTTTCACAACAACCAAAAAGTTGTGGGAACCTTTCGTAAGATGTTACGAAAACAATTCTGTATGAATATAAAATCAGTTGCTATGAATCTGCAAAATAACCGTCAATGACTCGAGCATTCAGATGAACATGCCTTCACAGATCTGGCACAGGAAGTGTTTTATTTTCTTTGTTTCTTTGACAAACTTGTTCATCAGTTTAAAGTTGTAACCACTGAACCTGCAAACGATAACGGTGACCCATAAACGGTGACCCATATTCCCAGAGTGGAATTCCCTGACTATCCCGAATTCTGTGATTATCCAGGATTCAGAGTTTTGTGTTGTTTGTGGTTTGTGGAGGGTTTCAGCAGTGTGGGTACAAACTAAGGGACAACAGAGGGAATTTTTACTGAACCACAAAATGTAAAGAACCTGTTCCTTCAGAGCTTCAATGTTAGTGTAGACACACACACACACACACACACACACACACACACACACACACACCACACAAATAACTCCACAAGTACACACCCCTCACTGCCTGCCCCGAGGCAGAGGTCTACTCCACTGTTACAGTGTAAATACTACAACAGAATCCAGGTCAGTGACAAATTAAGATTCTACGATGCCAAGAGCAAAGTGAAGGCTGAATTTTTCACAGCACAGACAAGTTCAGCTTCCCTTTTTTTACTTTCTTGAACCACGACTTCAGGGAACACGTTTATTTTTAACCAGACACAATTCAAATAAAAGGAACTGTTTTCTACCAGGCAGTAGAAAATGATTAAGATTCATCACTTCAGCAGGAACCAATGGGCTTAGAGGTCAGAGCCACAGAGAGGAAATCAGAAAGGACTGAGAGACAGACGATCACAAGTTGGTTTCCATTTTTGTTGACAACAGCAAAACGGTAGAAATGTCCTGAGTCTTGTGGTTGAATCACATGAGAAACATGTTGCAATAAAGTTCTGATTGTTTGATCAGAATCAGACAACACAGAAAGTGACAGGAAGCCCAGGGCGAGGCAGAGCTTAATGAAGCCGTTGGGGGTCATGTGACTGACCCTGTGTGTTGTCATCTTTTCATGCAGAACAAAAGTGGGATCATGTTGGAGTGGTTAAACAACACCGCCTCCACAGTAAAGAGTCACAGTGACCCCCTGACCCTCCAAACAGCAGGAGGCCGACCCTCAGTGAAGAGGCGGGAATGTTTGAGCCTTTATTGACCGCCGCCGACACTCAGCTCTGCGTTGTCCCCGCTGCTAAATGACGTGTGTGTCGGTATGTGTTTGTGTGTTAGCTGTCGGGGAGGACGAGCGGCGCTGAATGGACGCTCACTTTCTCACATCAGTAAATTCAAGCCATAGAGAAAAAGTCTCTCAGAGACGTGGGGCCGACTGTCAGAGCTACACGGTGAACATTTGAGTTACATTCACAGCGTTGGGTGAAAATAAAACAGAAGTTCTGGTTCATTTCTTTTATTAAAATGAACAAAACAATGTTTCGTCCCTGATTTAGCCAGCGTCACCTCCTCTGCTCTCCGACTGCCCGTAAGAAACATACTCATACACTTTTGTGTCTTACTAAGACGACAAAACGGGATGCAAATATTATCAGTATTTGACGACTTTTGTATTTGAACCGACCACTTAAGGATTTATGTAAAAGTCGAGATTCTTATCTTCTGAGATTTTAGATAGATTCATAACTTTTCTTTTTGTTGGCTAACCAGTCACTCCCTGCTAAGTGCTAAGGCTACATCTTTAACTCAGTAGAAGTCAAATGGAGCAGCAAGAAATTCAGCCAGTCTCCCAGATGACTGGAGGAGATCCTGAAGTATGTGCTCATTCAAAAATAGACTTTGAATCCATGGATCCAGAATCGTTTTGAATCAAAAATAGACTCTGAATCGTGGCCCCAAGAATCCAAAACAAAACGAATCGTGAGACACCGAAATAATCGTTTTGCTTTAAAACGCGTGGAATCTGATGAACGTGCTTGGTGAATCACAGTACAGAGCCTACAAGCCTACACCAACTCCCTGAGCTTCTGTCTAATAATAATGAGAGTTTAATCTCCAAACACACGCCTAATGTCAACATGGCAGCATGCTCGTATACTTCTATTAGTCCTCTGGGAGTGGTTTGGGTTCGCAGTGTTGAGCCTCAAGCAAACCGCTGTCCACTGTAAGGTTCTCTAAAGTCACAAAAAGCAGAAATCATTTAAATGCAGCCCAAGTGGGAAAAGTTTGTGGCACTGAAAGTTTCACTAGACAGCAACCAGCTGGATAGCAGCCGGCTTTATTTACCAAAGGGCCTCCACTAGTGCACTTTGGCCACCAAAGTCAGGGGCTCGGCGGCCCCCAGAACTTTAGCATCCATATACCTGAAGAGGAATCCAAAAAAAAGACGCCTGCATGACTCATATTGCAGGCGTCTCATTAATATGAGTCATATTAATCTTTGTTTAAGATTACTTATTCTGATTGTCTTTTTCTTTCACATTAAAAGTCAAACTTTGAGTCCGACACAAGCTCAAGGTAAAACTCTTTATGAGCAAAATCATTCCCAATTAGCAAAGCTTTAATCAATGCAACAGCCTGGTCCGGCTACCCGCCACGTGGCAGAGAGGCCGCCGATATTTACTTGCCAAAAGGAAAATGTTCCAGCATTTGGCGACTGAGGGGTTTTTCTCTATAAAAAAATCCTTATGCATTTATAGAATCAAAACAGAGCGTCTACACACACTCCTCCTCCTGCTGCTGCTTCTTGTCCAAACCTCTCAGTAATTAAAAACAGGTCGTTATCACACCTGGATCATGAGCCTGATTGTCACTTTATGGCTGACCTGTTAACTGGTCGGGCCTGTTTATTTCTTTATGACACGCTGATATGAATTTTATAGAGTGCTCGTAATACCAACCAGCGTAGTGTGTGTGCTCTCTCATCATGTATCTATCCAAACAGAGGACAGGTAATGTCATAAAAAAAGGTAAACAAGGTGACAACCTGCAGCCTGACCTGAGCTCATTTACGCCCAATTTACCTGAACCATCACAACAGAGGGATAAGTATTATACTACATGTTAAATCAAAGTACAGTGCTTTATTATGTACAGACTGATGTGTTGATTAAACCAGCTACAACCTCATGTCTGAAGAGTAAAGAAGCTGTTTTAAACCTATTAAAATACAAGATCTAACAAGTTTTTGGACTTATACTCGCTGTAAAGTTGCTTAAGGACAAGATATCTAAAGTTTAAACTGATGTCATTTGTGATTTTTATGAATGCTGCTTTTGTAATGCTGCTAACCAGTTAAATTCAAATAAGGGTTTTTGCATAAAAGGGACAACAACTGAAAGTCAGTTATTAATGTTTGGACATATTTGTAATCGTAATTTTTGATAGCTCATGATTTTAACTCGATGTCTGCAGATTTAGTTTAATAAATTAATTTACTTATCGCACTTCAAATCGTTATCGCAATACAGAACAATGTTACCGCATATTGTTCTCATATCGTGCAGGCCTAACTACAAAACATATAGTAGAGAAACTAGTCTCAGAGTAACATATGTCTAAATGGAGGGAAATTATTATAACAATATTGTTATTACTCAAATGTTACAGCTGATAAATAAAATCATGACGTTTATCCATTTTAAATGACTTGTTATTATACAGGACAGTGGATTTATACCTAAATGTATTGTTAATATACTTTATGGGATTTACTACGGTTGTTAAACCAAAAGTTTAATTTTAAGTAAAAGATAGAAGGTTTAACTTTGTATTATTGTGGATTTCAAATGAAATCAGTCGCAATTTTTTTTAATTTAATTACCAAAAACGAAATATTGAATTAAATAAATGTATTTGGTCATTCACAGTTTGTAACATTTAAATGTTTTTTTTTGTACTTTATTTTTCCAAAAGTAAAACACCAACGTGACAAAACGAAAAGACATACATAAAGCAAACTATAAAAACAAAAAGAAAACAATCAAACAAACCAGTAACATCAAAACACCAGTCCAAATTCATATGTCATGAGTATGTAAACCATCCCACTTAAAAAATAATAATAACACTAGTATATAAATAAGTAAACATTTGAAATGTGATAATTGATAAATGATGTAAAAGTTAAATCAAACAGCACAGCAGGAGAGAGACCCCTGATAAGATAACATTAGTCATCCGTTACCTCTCATCCAGTCCACCACCTGCTGCGGGCTCCACTTGCTAACAGCCTCCATGACTCCAACACAAACTTTAAATTAATCTCTCACTTGTCCAGTAAAAAAATCCCGATTGAAAAGGTCAATAAGACATAATAAGGAGCACCGGGGAGTCCCGTTACAGCGGACACACTCGGTCCTCCGCTCGCCGAGCCCGACTGGCGGAGCTCATGGTGAAAGTTTACAGTCAACGCAGCGCATGGGTCCGGTGTCGGGTTACAAAGGGTGTGGCCACGCCTCTCTCCCACTTCTCCTCCAATTGCGTAAGAGTATGCCGGTGTTGCCTTTAAGTGCCGTGGGAACAATAAGAATCTGACATACGATGAATACAGTAGCTCTCAAACACAATGTAGAAATAGTAGGGCTGGGCAACGATTACAAGTTTTAATCGCGTTAATCGCATGAGTTCCTGTGATTAATCGTGATTAATCGCATTGTTATGCGCAAAATCCAATAATGAATTCAAAAGTAGTGTATAGCGCACTTTTATTGTAAATGTACTTCTCAACTTAAACAATGTAATCAAAGCAAATAAATACAAAACTAAAGCTTATTGCATTGGTTGCAGTGTGGACGCAGAGTGGTGTGGGTCTCCTCTCTGACTGCAGCTGGGTCTGCTGCTCGAGGCTACACTGACAGCCTGTGATGCTTTAGGAAGGGGAGGGCTAACGGCAGCACCCGCTGCTCGTTGAGTAACTGCAGAACAATACGTGCTTTCACGTCAGTTTCTAACACCAAAAAAGTCTCCAATAACTCCAGAAAAAGTCGCTAGATTTGTCGATAGTAGCTGTTGACAAAAAAAGTCGCCAAGGCGGTTTGGAAAGTCGTCAGATTTAGCGAGAAAGTCGCCAAATTGGCAACACTGTTCCCTCTTTCCTGTGAGCGCCGCAGCAGACATGCGCAGCAGACATGCGCAGCAGTAAGCAACATACGAGGCTCGCTCACGATGGAATTTTACAAAATAAAAGCCAGTGAGCAACAGACTTTTACAATAAGAAAATAAACAATAAAAACTGCGTTAATGTGAGATAAAATAATTGTCAGCGATAATTAATTAATGAGTTAATGTGAAAATAACGCCTTAACGTGCCCAGCCCTAAGAAATAGAATATAGAATAAAAATAGAAATAGAAATAGAATAAGAAGAAAGCGCAGAGTATCTAAATAAATAATAAAAGTCCTTATTTGTTGTTTTTTTAACAAGAGACTTTAATGTTATAAAGTCTAATGTTTAATATGTCTACACTCATGCACTTTAACTTATGTCAATACTGTCCATTTACAACTCTGTTTATGCACATTTACATTTAATCTTTCTTATTTAAGACTAGTAATGCTAAGTTAAATCCTGGTTGTATATATTCTCATTCTTAGTTTTGATATTTTTAGTGCTTATTTACTTTGTATTTAATATTATATTGTGTTTTTTGCTCATATTGTGTGTTTGGATAACCTGCTGCTGTAACGCCTCAATTTCCCAGTTTGGGATCAATAAAGTATTTCTATTCTATTCTATTCTATTCTATAAAAGAGTCTCTAATGCTCATTTTTTTAATGAATCTTTCCAAATTAATATGATTTCTTTCAAATTTAGATCATGTGCTTAATTTCCTTTGGCCGTCACTATTTGATTGATTGATTGTTCTTTTTTTATGTGTCATGCTTACAAAGCGCCCAATCCTCATTTTTATTTATTTCATTTCATTTGACATTTATTTTACCAGGAGGAGATTCTCTTTGATATACAACACCAGAGAGTCCTGGCCAAGACAACAGCATACAAGAGTTTCAGACAGAGAACAAAAGACAGACGATAAACAAATATTACATCATTGAACCAATCAGGAGCTTTAAACAGAGAAACATGTGATACAGTCGTCAAATGGTCCTTTAGGCTGCTTTTAAAATCTTTGAAGACAACTCATGGGTTTATAAGACACCAGAGATCCAACCCCAGTGGTTCAACAATTCATAACAAGTCATCACAAAGCTGCATGCTCCTTTAACAGCTCACTAAATAATGTATTTTATGTAACATATTATGGGAATCATCTTCCCATTATGACCAATAAAGGCCTATTGAAATCATAGAAGTTGACATTTTCTAAATAAGGAAAATGCCCTGCACTATGCTCATCCTTTAGACCTTAGGATTCCTCCAATAAGAATGTGTACTTCAGTCTCTGAGCATTTCTTTCATCTTCTGAGCTCCACAGCAGCTCCGTCATGTGTGCTGGGTGTTGGCTTGTGAAGC